AGTATTTTCAGTGTGCTCCTTTTAAATCATTAGCCTTGAGTAGTGCTTGTTAGCATTTCCTAGTGGTACACAAAAGCCACCACCAAAAATATGAGCTAATGTACATTAAGCTTCACCTTTGATTGAAATATTTTTCTTTACTATGCCTAGAAGGAATAAAAGCCACACCAAAAATCAGTAACTCACTGCTTAAGTATGAAAAATCTAAGATGCACTTTCCCTGTCTTGCCATTTAAGACAAAATGCCTTGATGCCTATGACCTCAGTGGACGCTATCAGGTCAAAGAGTGCTGCATCTGCAGTCCTGATGTTCTAACAAGTATCAGCTTCAGAAATAAAACTTGACCTTTCCCTGTCTGTCTTCCTTTTGCAGTGATTTTCAGCAGTGACATGAATCTGGTCAGTTTATTTCTTAGCTTCCATACTGCAGGACAGTGCTGGGGGATTTCAGTGCTAGTAATGGCCATCTAAATTTCAGTCTAATTTAGATTGTGTATTTGTAAAAACATTTTATTAACAGAATTGGTTAAATAGAACATCATCAACAGCAATACCACCACCTGCCCCACCAGCAGCACCTCCCATACCCCACATAAGCATAAGGTTCTTTTTAAACTCCAATACCTGATAGTGTCAACACTAAATTAATTTCAGCTGGGAAATGGTTGTAGCATTCAATACATTAGTTGCTTTCATCCTGCCTCTGAAACTGTCTTCTTGCTAAAGTTGAACTTGCAAGTGCAGAAAGGAAAGTGCATCTTGAAATGTATTTTTTTATTATTATTATTTTAGGAAAGCTCTGACCACTTAGACTTTTGAGTTTGTAAGTTCTAAAAATATTTTTTTGTATTTTTGTATTGTATGTGTAATCTCTTTTCTTTTGAAGTCTGATGCAGTTGAATACCTGTAACTGTTTTCTTTTAAAAGCCTTGTTATAAACTTAACATAAAAATGTATACATTATTTTTCTTTCATAGCAGAAATACTTGGTTTATTTAAAACACACTTTCAAAACTGATTTTCAGGACTTCCAAAACCAATTTGGGCATTACTGGAACTAGGCAAGACAAACTTTTCACTTATTTTCATCACATGTGGTTATGTTTGTCTAAATAAATCCCTTTAAGATAGTGGTAATCCATAGTGAATAGCTATTTTCTTGTGCTCCTCAGTAGCTGGTTCATGCTATATCAATCACTTGGATAGGAACAAAGCAAAACAGAACTTCAAATAAGAATGACTCAGAGATCTATTCCTTGTTTTCATTAACCTACCACTACTTTCTTTCACATCTTTGTCTGAAGTAGATGTTCATACCAGAATCTCCTTGTACTTCAAAGTCATTTAGGAAATTGCTAGGCAGAAGAGCAGACATGCTATGAAATACCTTCCATGCAACTGAGAGAGCAAAAATTATCTTCTTAGTTCCATAGTCAATAAATAATCCCAGACCCTGTGAGAGACTGCAGAAACTTCTGTATCTCAGCTGAAGGTGAGCAGTGATCCTGCCTCACCTGGTGCAAGTTTTCTCTTCCTTCTCTGGGCTTGGCAATCCAGCAGGATTGCTTCAGTCTCCTCAGGACTTGATGTCAAACAAGCTGGATTTGTGTGCTGATGTTCAGTGTCTGACACTTGCAAGAACAAACTGACTGGTCTGAACAATATCATCAAGGTGAATGTTAGCTGGGATTAACTTGGAGCTGTAGGCTCTTGTTAGAGTAGTCATGGTTTTGTATGCACAGACCCCTTTTTTGTTGTTCTTGGTGTGATTTTTGGTGTTTTTTTTTTTTTTTTAGTTGACTTGGCTTTTTTTTTTGTAAGGATTTTCCAAGAATCCTGAAACTCATGATAAATGATCTGATTAGGTGAAGTGCTGAGACCTTGAACTGCTCAGTGCAGCACGCTGTGTGTGCCTGGCAGTGGTTGAAATGCCAGCTTGTGTGGTTTTGTCCCGTGGGGCTCCTGCTTGCTGAGCAGGAATTGGCCCTGAGCAGCTGCAGAGCACTGCTGGCACCAGGTGAAGGTGTGAGCAGTTACCCAGTGACCTTCTCTGTGCTGCCCTGCAGCTGGGCTCTTTGAGCCTGCTGCCTTGCAAACAGACCCAAACTCATCTAACTGTATTGAAATAATAACAAAGCCCATCAACCTCCTCCCCTCAAAAAAACCAAACAAAAACAAAAGGCAAGAAAAGTCCCCTCCCAAAAACTCAAACCAGCCCCACCAAACCGTGCAGTGAGCTGCTGATGGCCATGTTTCAGGCAGTGCTGGGTGTGGCCCCTCACCTAAGTTCATTCCTTTAAAGCTTCTCAGAATGAAGATTTGATCAGCAGGAGGGAGTCCCCAGCCTGTCTCTAAGGTACCTGAGCGGTGCCACTTCCCAGCTTGTGCCCCATTGGAGATGACCCAATCCTGGCATTCACTGAGCTCTGTGCAAAAGCAGCTGTGCTCCTGGGAGCACCAAGGCAGCTGCCACAGCTGCCATGGGGCCTGGAGAGCTTCCACGGCTGCCAGGTTTGTAGAGCACCCCTTTGTCAGAACTCACTGGGCTCTGCTGAGCTCTGTGTGCTGCCAGTGGCTTTTCCAAAGCTGGCTTTCCAAAGAGGCTTGGGAGGAAAAGTCAGCTTTTGACAAAATGGCAACTTCTGTTCCCTGAAGAGGCAAACAGGTTTTGAGCTATTGGAATTCACTGGTGTCACTAGTACTCTGAACAGGTTGCTGTAAGATAAGATAAATCTGTTTGAAGAAACTACAGGGTTTCAAGAAAGCTTTTTGTCAATTTAGTAGCCTTAAAGGGTGTTCTGCAAAGAGGTTTGGCTTTTTTGAATTCCCTATATAACTACAAGTTGAGGAATGCTGAGTAGTTCTGCTCTTAAGCTCCAAAAGGGAAAGTTATGTTCTAAACTCACCAGAATTTGTTGTCTAGTGTCTCTGTCATGACTCACTAGAACACCATAAATATTGGATAATTAACAGTTTGCTATTTTACTTTATCTTATTAACACATCCCTTATTTCTTCTGGTTAGCAAAAAGATCTACTGTTTTCTAATTTTGAAATACTGGCATCTTATATAGTACTTACATAGGAAAGCTGCTCATGTTTAATAATGTGGAGCCATTGCTTGGGGGTAGATGCATAGTTATCCATGGAATTAAAAGCTGGGAACATCAACTTGTTACACTTTAACTCTGAACACAGCATGTTCCATTTGTGTTTGCAGACTTGCATTTAGCAGTCTGCAGTGGTGGGAGCCCAGGGTTTACTGCCCCAACCTCTGCACTTTGTGATGTCTGGGCACTCCAGCAGCAGCTGCCCCTCAGGGTGGCTGGTAATCAGAGCATGGACTTCCTGATTCATGGAACATGGTCTGGAAAACCTCTGCTTGGTGTGTGGCTCAGTTCCTAAATTTGTTTCTTGGGAACAGATTTCCTGATGAGATGGATATGCAAAAGTCTCTGTGGTTCTGTAGGAAAAGTTCCACTGAAACTTGAAGTCATGAGTCCATATTGATGTCTTCCTGGGAGTACAAGTTATTAATCTAAAGTTAATGCAAGTTATATTAAAAATGTAATCATCTCTCCTTTTCTCCCCCAGCATCCCCTAATTTGTAAAGATGGTAGTTGCATGTCAGGCATTGGCTGATGTTACAGAATCACAGCAGTGCTTTGGTGACAGAAGTGTCCCCACTGACAGCAGCTGCCATCTCTACAGCTGCAGGCACAGAACAGCTAACTGTGACAATCCTGTTCGCATGTGAAATTTAAAGCCATGACAAGAAGAGCTTACACTACTCCACCTCTAAAAGCACCACCTAACTCAGCAATGCTGGGAGGTAGGGCACTTGTTCCCTGAGGAGAGACAGCACAGAACTTTGCCATTGGGAACAAGAAAATCTTCCTTTCTGCTAAGTCCTTCAAAGGTCACTGGAGAATTGTGAGGGTGCTCCCCAAGAGCCCTGCACTGGAGGGTGACTGCAGTGACCAGGGCCTCTGCCTGCAGCAGCTGGAATTTTTCTGCAGGAGCACAGGCCTCGGTTAAGAGCTCCTCCAGAGATGCTGGGGGGGTTTCACCACGTTGTTGGCCACAGCTGTAAGGCTGGCTCCTGAGTGTTAGCATTATACACTGGTGCTGCAGAAATTCATGGTGCTCCCTTCAACAGCAAGGAATGACATGATTGTAACTCCTGTGGAAACAAAGGGACAAAATATTGTCCACACATCACTTGGCTGCTGTGCATCTGTAGTTGCACCCCTGTGGAGCAGTAGCTGCTCCACAGAGCCTACCTTACTCCTTCAGCACTCAGCCTTTTGAAACCCCTACTTTTCTTTAATTACAGACTTAGCTTGGTTACTCACAGGGGTTCCAGAGGAGTTAAAAGCTCCTTGCATTCCCTTAGGATGAAGCACAGGAGATAATCAGGGTTTCTGCAACATCAGTGCTGCCTTGAAGCTCCTGTAACAGAAAAGGGAAAGGCACGGGACGCTGCTCCCAGCCCTGGAGGCAGCTGTACAGCCCATCCCTCAGCCAGGAGAGTGCCACTGGAGGACAGGCTCCACACCTCAACCCCTTCTCAAACACCCACCCAGGGCAGAGCCGAGATGGAAGTGCTTGCTGGTGCTTGCTGTGGGTGCAGTGTTGTACACCCAAGTCAGGAGAAATAAGGTCTGAAAGAAACCAGACTGGTTACAGCTGGGTACCAGGGGCTGAGCAGATAGCTCACCCACCCGAGGACTTGCAGCCAAAGCAATTTCAGTATCAATACACACGGTGTTTCATCAGCACTGTGCTCTTGTGCTGCCATGTTCTGACACAATTCAGGAGGCCAGTGTGTTTCCTTTCCCCATACAATGTAACTCTTTGGGCCTTAGGCAAGAATTACAAAGACGGGGTTACTAGAACTATCCAGGCCAGATTCTGTCTGTATGTGGGAAGTGAAATACTGCAGAGGAATCTGCAACACCTTCTTTCCCCAGAGAAAAAGAAAGTTTCTTCAAAGAGCAATTCATGGCAGAGCTCAGTTTATTGATGACAGAAATAACCATAACTTTATACATTTAACACTAAATAAAAACAGCAGAATGTACAAATCTGATTCATTATGTACAGGAATTCACTAGGAATACTTAATGAACAGACACTTCTCATTAACTTTATTTAAAAAAAAATCAAATACCAACTGCATATTTGCAGTCTGACTTTGCAGGAGGGTAGTGAATGTCTTAAGTGCTGAAGTCCAAAGAAAAACATAAGGCAACCCCACAGAGATGGGAATAGCAAAGCCAAGAGTGACACTCCCCACTTACCTCACACCGTTCTGAAAAGGTAAGGCACAGCATGTAAAGAAAGGGGTGCCACAACATGCAGCTTTGACATTCCTGGCTGATTCTCCTTTACAAAACAACCTTCTGTTATTAGTTTGGTTGGTGGTTGTTTTTAAACAGCAGATCATTGAGTCAGTAAAAGCATTCTGACAGTGGATAAGAAGGCTCCAAAATTCAGATTCACTTTTGCTTCTTCCATAGGTTGGGCAAATAAATAAATGCACCAAAGATTAAACTAAGGTGCTGATAATATTCTTTTTTTGTAGGGTAACACACTAAATATACAAATAATGTTCTAGCACTATTTACAGCTATTTTTCCTTGAACGCTTTTTCACTTTAGTAATACATAATTATTTTTAGGATACAAACATTGAAGTAAGTTTTCAAGTTCATCTAGTGCTTTTAAATCTTTTTCCATCATAATGGCAGTATTTTAATTTTAAGCAGGATGGCTATCTCCAGATTCTTTACCATACAAAAATTCAAGTTACAGCTAGCAGTCATTTTTTTTTAATATTCATTTTAGTTTTACTCCATTTGGTAATCAGAAAATAATACAATTGTAAAGGGGTGCAGGATATATAAATAACTACATTATTTCTCTGAAATAAGATCCTGACTTTTGAAATAGGCATCTACAAATTAATTTGGATCCAAGACTCAAACATAAAAAATTTTCAACAACTGCTTATCTACAGAATTGCAAAGTATAAAAAGAACAGTCCATTCTGTAGCTTAGTAGACAGATATCCACATAGTTAAATAAGATGAAAAGTAGAAATACTAATTCAAATGAGGTGGTTACTGTGCCACAGGGTTTGCTGAAATTTTGTTCAGTGGATCTGTTTCACAGGTAGCAGAGTTATATGCATGTCACTTTCTTTATGAAATTTACCCTGCAATATTACAAGTTTCTGGCTGCTCAGGTATCTTACTGCTGTCCAGGTTAGGCAACCTGATACCACTATAGACTGAGAAGAATTTAAAGACTACAGCTCTGATTGTTCACATGCAAAGCACTTTCAGTTTCCTTGACAGACATGCTGCTTGCTTAAGAAAGCCACACAGCAACAAAGGAACCTACACTTGTACAGATTAAGGTGTGCCCTGTTTGTGGTACTGAACCAGGGACACAGAAACCTGGGCCAAGCACAGCTGTCACTCACACTCACCTGCAGGAACACTCAGTAGGGATTTTTCCAACTATGTGGTGTAACATCAGCTATCAACTGGATCTAGAAGTATTTCTCTTAAAGCAGCAGTAATAAGGTCTTCTAGAGATTCTGGTAATTTTGAGACCATTTAATTTTTACCCCATCCCAAGATACTTATATTTCCCTACCCTGATACTGTCATGTGTCCTGCTTGGGAATTAGCAGGGCTCCTCCTTCCAATACAATACAAGATCAGTCCATAACCTTCCTTAGTTCCTGAAAAAGTATGCCATTAGACCTTTCTCCTTTGACAGTTTCTACATCAAATGTAAAGCAAAAACAGAAGCATCCCTCATGAGGCTGCCTGCACTGGGGTCACACATCAGTGCTGGCAACAGCTTCCAAGCAAACATGGAGCTAAACGCGGCTGTGCAGAGGCTGGGGTGCAAACTCCTCCCTCACAAAGAAAAGGAGTTTGCTTCTCTAAGCAGCCTCCCTGGGGTGGGCTGTCCTCTGGTCAACTTCAATTCACAACCATCTTGGAGAACCAGATCACAACCATCTACCTGCCCATTATCTATAAAACATTTTACAGCATTTTGCTGAACCTTGGACCAGCCACCCTCACACCTGGAATTTAAGTAAGTTCTTCAGAACTGGGATTCACTAACTACCAATGGTGCATTTGCCCAGAGAAAAAAGCTTCAGTTTTTCTGTATGTCACATGAAGCACAAGCCTACACAAAGCATTCTACCACCTCCCTTGTCTTGGGAGTAAACAGACAGCATCCAATATAGGAAATTTGCTCACGAACTTGATGAAATGCACATCAAAACAAACAAAAAAACTACCAAGAGCTGTGCATTTCTAGTTTTTAGTGCAGCCTTTTTATATGTTTTTTTTTTAATTTCTCAAATTTACAGTATGATACTTTATGACACAAAAAACATTATTATAACCTTTTTGTTTTCTTTAAAGTTACAGCCACTATAGAAATCTTAGTTTTCAAAGCCTTGGCCCACACTGGAGTATTGGTACTTTTTCCATCTAATGCATGGTGCAGTATTCTGTCACCACAACATTCAGTACTGAGGATTAACCATTTGGAAACATGCATCACTGAAAGCCTCAGGTAACCCATTTTACACTTGGCTCTCACAGATACACAGCCTCACCACTCTTGCTCCCTCATATACTAAATCGACTCTGTTGTTGTTACATGGGCCACCTCTACTTCTACAGTTTCAATGGCCTGCGTCACTTCGGCCATTTTCTGTCCCTGCTGCTGTGCCAGTACATAATTTACCACCTGCATGATGCTTTGGTCAGAAAGGGTGGAGACCGACGTGCACTCCTCAGTAGCTGCAACTGCTTCGATGGCTTCCAGCGTCTCTCCTGTCACCACCACAGTCTCGCCCTCGCCAGCGCCAAAGCTGATCTCGGTTTCCTGCTCCTGTATGTCCGAGGCTAAGATGCTGATGGCGTGTTCCACCTGTGTCCCCTGGTTGTGAAACTGCAGGGTGTCCTTCTCCAGCATGATCTTGCAGGGGATGTAGTCCCTGTGGAGCTTGGTCATGTGCTTGCGCAGGGTGCGCGCGTCGATGTAGGCCTCGTTGCACACAGGGCACACGT